CAAGAAAATGAAGAAGAACAACTACTTTCAATGTCATATTTTACAAAAAAAAAAATCCTCAAAGCTTAGATTATTGATAGTGATTGTACAAATCATATGACTTATCACCGAAAACTCTTTAAAGAATTCAACAAAAATGGCATCTCTAAAGTTCAAATGGGAAATGGAATATATATACCTTACGACAAATTTAATATCTATATGTTCTTGGTATTACTCAAATTTTGTTGAGTGTTGCTCAATTGTTAGAAAAAGGCAATAGAATGTCATTTGAAGATAAAAATTGTGTGATTAAAGATATAAACAACAAAGAAGTATTCAATATTCATATGAAGGCAAGAGTTTTGCTTTAAATTTGAAGAATAAAGATGATGAAAAATCACCTTCAAAAGAGAAGTTAAAGACAAATACTAAAGTAGTCCCACTCAAGAAGGACTGTAACAAAAGTTACAAGAAAAATAAAAGGGAAAAATTAAACAAAAAGATAAAAAGTAGATTTTGTAATTCAAATTCAAATTAGGTGATAAAATATTCAAACAATGAGGAGTATTGAGAATATGCCTAAATATCTTTAGGAGAATAAATTAGTTTTGTTAAAAAAAAAATTTTATGTTTCAAATAATTAAATTTAATCTATTTTAATTTTTTTAGAATTTGTTTCCTTATTTTTAGAATAAAATAATATTAATATTTGATTTTATAAAATACAAACCTCATGAATAAAATAAGATTACGCTCATTTGATAATAAAAAATATATATGTACAAAATACAAATCTAAAATATCCCATCATTAGTTAATATTCAACTAATAAATTTATAAAAAAAGTTTTTTTAACTATAATATTAATACGAAATATTCATTATAAAAAATAATGACTAATTATGGTAAAAAATTATAAATATATATAAAATAAATATTTTATTTTTTATCCAATAAAAAAAATATAAAAAGAAAGATATTGATAGGATGAGTAATTTTACTTTATCACTAATCAATCTATTATGAAGCATGTGAGTGTACCTCCATTAATTTATTAAAACTGTCACACTCAGTCCTTTAATTAAATTTGGATGCTATCAAGTACGCCCAATGTGCATCAATTTCCATTTACATGCACGAGTACACAAAGTATTATTTTGCATAACAATATGCATACTTAAAGGCAGAGGATGGTAGGTTGATACATATTTAGAATTCCCTATTCGCTATATGAAGTGAGGATGATATAGTATTAGATATGATGAACCCAAATTAGAAATGAACATGCAAGTATGTATTTGTGGAAAACCAAAAGTAATAATATAAAGTAATAACAGGTCAATGGCCTACCATGAGATTCTATATATAGAGCATTCGTCACGTGCTCTTTTTCCATCCCCATATTCCGGTATCTCAGTAAAGCCATTAATTCTCTCTTAATATTAAACAACCTTGGCCCATTACATACGACAAATAGCCTTAGATCTTGCCAGATTGTTTTTCAAAAACAGGCCCACATGTGTTGCTTCAACTTCCCACACATTGCTATTTTACTTTATTTCTTCATTTATTACAGTTAGAAAAAACATACTTTGCTTTGATGTACATTGATTTAATTATTTTTTATAATTATATTATTAATGCAAAATATTCATCTACTTAACCGAGATCAATATCTCACTGATATCGGTTCTTAATTTAGTTATTCTTGGATAATCATAGACAAACAAAATAATGTATATGTTCTTAATGTCTTAAATACAGCAAATGCTAAAAGAAAAACACAACAAAATGATTCTTGGCGTTTAATTTGTACTTAATTGGGAGAAAGTGTGCGTGTCATTGTGCATGTAAAGTTCACAGATATGTTAGCATGAATGTAGGCACAAGTCACAACGGCTTGTTTTGTCATTCATGAACTTTTTAAGGTCATGTGATAAGTTGTTATCTCAACCATGTGATTTGTACGATTTCCACATAACAATGGCAGAGTCGCCAATTATTTTGTCATATGAAAGAAATTTTCGATCACGAGTGTCTTGATCGAATTATTTGCTAAAAGAATTCTGGTATTGTTTGCTAAAGATTTGGGGTATTATAATAAAAAATTATTTGCTTCCTTTTTATCTCCTTCCATCAAAACAACTTAAAAAAAGTTACCCTTTTTTTTTTTAATTTTATTCTACTTCTTTATATTATATTTCTTTCTTCTTGAAATCCTTCTTTGTCCAAACAAAACATTAGTATTTGATATTAGGTTTAAATATTTTTGTCATCCTAAATATTGCTCTCTTTTTTTTTTTTTTTTTTCCATGCAATTATTTTTTGTCATTTTTAGATCTTAACAATTTTTTAGTGTTCTCTTTTAGTCTTTGTCACTAACTTAAGTTAGTTTATAGGTAAAATAATTAACAAAATATAAAATATTAATTAAGATAATTAAAATAATGAACAATATTTTAAATTAGATTATAGAGCTATTTTACATAATACTCACCAATAAAACCCTCTCATTGACGAGAATCAAATTCATGTCATTTTGGGATATGAGTTTTTTTTTTAATCAATTGGATCAACCTTTATTTTTCAGGTATGGTATTTATTCAAATAAATCACACAATCAATCTCAATAAGAAAAAAAACTAAGAAAGAAAAAATTTTGGTAAAAACTTGATGAAAATTGAAAGAAAAAAAAAACCTTCACAGTTCAATGAAAAATCAATATTTAATAATAAGCATGTTTAAAATTTATTTTTATTCTTAAATAATAACGACGAATAAAATTTATTGAAAAAGAAAATAATTTTTTTTATCCATAAGAATCATAAAGAGAACACTAAGCTTTGAATCTAAAACCTAGACATATTACTCAAATTATTCTACCACTAGTTGGCCGACCTTATATGTAGATCACACATTGTTCAATTAAACATTATTGTACAAGAATTATAAAGACATACTAAAGTTCAAATATTTTTTTTTGTTTTATAAGAAAGTGTAATTCATTCCCATTCAGTCAATTATTGTAAAGGTAAAGTTGTAACTTGATTGTGACTCCATATTCAAGTAAAAAATTGAACCCAATCATTGATTAAATATTTAGTTACATCAGAAAAATACTTCTTATTAAAATAATTAACATTTATCCTCTTGAAAACTTGATTTTACACAATAGAAAATTACATTAAAATGCAAAATGTATTTATAATGTACAATTTTTTTTATACTATCATCTAATATTAGATTTTATGTTGAAAAATTATTTATTTTTATAATAAATACCTTACGTAATATATAAAATGTATTTTTATTATTGATTGATGTAAAAAATCTTTATAAAAAACCTTATACATCATTTACTTTATATATATAATTTTTTAAATTGACAAGTCATTTTAATCCAACCCAAAATCCTGGATGGATGGTTAAGTTAAATCTTTTTTAATTCAATCTTAAAATGAGTTTGAGCTAAGTCGACACTTTTGTTTTTAGAAGTTACAATTAATAGGTTTAGGTTCGGTTATTTGACCTAGGGAAGGTTTAGGTTGGGTTATTTGACTTAGGGGAAGGTTTAGGTTGGGTTATTTGACTTAAGGGTGAGTAGAGGACATGTTAGGTTGAGTTGTGTTTTACCTTAACCCATCCTTACATTTTGATTAGGATACCTTTTAGATCTTAATTTACCATATTAGGCTTAAATGAATTTAATAATTTATGGGTAAAATTAGGATATATATTTTAAGACAATAATGAGTTGATCCGGAATATGAATTCTTATTAATGTTATTGAAATTTCTCATCATTATGCATAACATTTAATAAGTGATAATTACTTATCATATAAAAAAAAATAGTATTGACTTTAGTGTGAAAAACATAAATAAAAGAAGTTAATAGCTATAATTTTTCTAGTACAATACGAATAATAAAATGTGTCACAAAATACAAAGACAGATTGCGACAGGCTATATTTGACGCTAACTCATACTTAAATAAATTTAAATGAGGCCAAAATTTAAAATCCTAACCCATTCTTAGATTCGAATGAAGTTGATAATGTAGTAGTGTTTTAAAACCCGGACCGACCCGGCCGGTCGGATCGGTTGGACCGGGAACCGGTAGTCCAGCTGGTCCGAATCTGAAGTTGGATCGGTTATGTAGTTGACCCGGTTCAAACCGGATTGAACCGGTCAATTTTCCGGTTCAACCGGTGAACCGGTGGGTCAAACCGGTTCAACCACTTTTTTTTAATTTTTTTTTTTTTAAGGGACCATAAATCACAAAAATAATAATGAAAATCGAATCTCTTAATGAAAAAGCAAGGAGTCTTATTAAATATAACAATGACTACTTGTTCTAATATATTTGTTTACAATATATACAACTTAAATAACTTTTATAGTATATTATTAATTTTAAATTATATATTTAATAATTCAATATCTATGTAAATATTACATATATTATTTTGTGATATTAATTGCAAGCATATTATATATGTACATATTATTTATATTTTTAATTTGTATTAATATACCGTTTAACATGTAATTTTTTTATGTATTTTTTTACAAAATAAAAATAAAAATAATTTTAAATAAGATAGAAAAATTTAAATTTAAAATAAGATATGAATTTATTAAAATTTATAAGTATAAATATATTTAATATGAATATTTTTTAATAAAAATAAATAAAAATCAAGTCATGCGATTCAACCAGTGACCCACCTGTTCAACCTTTGACCCACTGACCCAATACCTTAACCGGTTTGATACCGATCCGGTTTTTAAAACTATGAATGTAGTTGATAAATTAGGACGAAGCGTATGAAATCAACGGCTGACCCTTAATTCGAGCCATTGAACATTTTGCATGAGGTTTCAATTAATAGTGTTATTTAATGAAAATTACATGTATAAGGTTGACGAGAGGAAAGCAATTATGTTGGTGAGTTTAAATAAAGATGAAGGAAGAATGTTAGTTAAAGGTAGCGCAGAAAGAAGTAGTGGAATAAATGAAAGAGAAGGAGTAAAGAGGTGAAGATAATTAATTTATTGAATTTATTTCATGGCATTATTCGTCTCTTAGTTTTTCGTCCTCAAGGAAGGAAGAGAAAGAACTAAGGTTGTTGGTTTGGTCTGAAAAATCGGTTTGCGTCCAGTCCTTGAGAACTTGATCAGAGAAGACGTGATTGGCGTGGTCGGAACAAGGTGATAACTGGTCGGGATGAGTGAAGGTGAAATTGTACATGTTTGAAAAATCCAAATCCGTGTTGAGAAGATCAGATAAGCAAACATCTCCGACGTTGAAATCTATGAGCAAATCCGTGGAGAGGTCTTTTTCATCGTTGGGAAATGAGAGGAAGCCGTTGCCGTTGCTTATGGCATCCATTGCTTCTTCTGCTTCAGCCTCAGCCTCGGTGTTATGCAATTTCATTGTGGGGTTAGGGAGTGGGTTTATGAATAATACCTTAGAGCACTTGCTAGCTTTTGTACGGACAAGATGAGAATCTAGGGAGGGTGAGGGAGTGGGCATAGGGATTGGATTCTGTGTTTTGTTTCCATTTCGATAACTAGTAGTAGTGCTTTGGTTCTGGTTTCCATCTTTCACTTTTTTGCCTAGGTTCGTGTTCCAATAATTCTTTATTTCATTGTCTGTTCGCCCTGGAAGCCTCCCTGCTATTAAAGACCATCTGCACACAGAATCAAACACATCATGTCCATGTCACAATCACCATTATAATGCTACACTTTATACCTGTTTCCCAGGAGCTTGTGAAGCCTGATGATGAGCTCTTCTTCGTCTGAGGAAATATTTCCTCTCTTGATATCTGGTCTCAGATAGTTCAACCATCGAAGTCTGCAACTTTTCCCACACCTTTTCAAACCTGCATGAACCAACCATATTGTATAAAAAAAACCTTTTTCATTTTTCAGTACAGAACATTATGATTATATATGTTGTAACAGAAGGAACATACCTGCTCTTTTGGGAAGGTTTCTCCATCTTCCTTCACCGTGGACTCTAATGTAATCTCTCAGAATTTTGTCTTCATGAGCTGTCCAAGCACCTCTGTTCAAGCCTTCCTTTGAACAACAAGGACTTCTTCCCATTCTCTCTCACTGCCCTTCCTCAAGCTGTGGAGTGTTTGGCAGTGTGGATGCTTATATAGCAATCCTTTTAATAATTGTGGTGTGCTCATCAGTGGTCCACACTTGAGGTCACTTCAACTTGCAATGACAAGTGAGCCACAACAGATTTTATAAAAAATTTATATTTATACGGTTTGGACACACTCTATTTCTATATTTATTTCAAAATTATTTCAATTTTAGATTTGAGTCGAATAATTAATTTTTAATATTTAAGGTTTAAATAATTAAACAGTTTCACGTTGAAGCGTGCATCGAGGTCTTTGGTTGGTTTCAATACGGGACTTTGGGATCATTTGTCCCCATGGAAAAATGCAGAATTTCACCCAATGATTCCTTCAAATCATTAAATGCTCCAGAGACTATGCTGCGCCTTTTGCGAAACGAGTCACATTCGAACCAAAATTTATTTTATTTATTTTATTTTTTTATCATCTATAGTTGATTTTTTTTTAGGTATTATTTTTTGAGTTAATCATTTATATATTGTTAGTATAAATTTTTTTTATCCCAACAACTAATTATATTTCTTAATTGTACTATGTCACAGTTAAAAATAAATGTATCTACAGTAACATGACACAATTAAGAGATATAATTAGTTTTTGGTGTAAAAAAACTTTACACTGACCGTATATGAGTGATTAACTCTTTTTTTTTTTCGGTTGGAAAGTAAATTAGTATTTTTAGTTGTCTAAAACGGAGTTTGATTTTTAGTGGAAATTGGTTTTAGTTAAGCATGTGTTATTTTTAAAGACCGATTCTCGTGTTAACAAAGTATATCGGATCAATTAAAAAAATTTATTCTCTAATTATTTTTATAAGACTTAATTACTTAATTTATTATTTAATTAATAATAATAAATTTATCTTATATATATATAATTATTCTAACTTTAATGACACACTTTCGCATTAACTACCTATTCCTGACAACCTCAGCAGAAACGTTGGACTCATTAGGGAGCTCAACAACAACATCAGAAGAGTGGTTGACCTATATGCGGATCTTTCAAGTTCTTTTACCAAATCCATGGAAGTTTCTTCAGAAGGGGATTCTAGTGGTGCTGTGAAATCTGATGGCAAAGCTGGCCACAAGCGACACAGGCCTCTTTAGGAAGCTTTTTATTTTTATTTATTTTTTCTTATCTTTTTGCTTGGTGGAGATGCACGACATAACAATTGTGTTGAGGGGTAGAACAAGATTAGGTTCTGTAGCCAAAGCCCTCTTGTATTACAGAACTTTCTCTGGCTCATCACTTACTGCTTACATTTCAAATAAAAAGAAATGTTTTTCCACTATTATAGGCTTGTGACTGTGAATCTAATAGAAATGTAACATGTTTGTGTGACTAAATATAATCATGCTGCACTGCTGTCTTTCAAAAGGTAAATGAGAACCCCTTTTTCTTTTCTATTCAACGTGATTGCTTTTTTCCTTTGGATTTGAACATGTGATAGATTATAATGAGATGGACTTTTTCTTGTTTATCTGTTTTTTCTATGATATGATTAGGTCTTGCAAGAGATAAGGGCTTTTAGCTTTGATAAACTTTTCTTGAGTTTATGTTTGTCAAAAGGGGCTAAAGGCCAAAGGGTCTAAATAATTTTTTTTATGAGGACTATCTCTTATCTAGTTTTGATGGAAACTCGTCATGATAGCTTTATTCCCTCTATATCTTGAACCAAAATGATGTTCCCAGATCTTACTTTACTTAAGAACTGAAAGTGAGAAGGGGTTGCAGCCACTGTTTTTGGCCTATGCGCATGTAGCCAGAGGTTCCTTACCAAGAAAACTACTCCTGGTTTTTTCTGTTCATGTGTTTCCCTGTGGGAGTGACAACTGAGAGAACTGAAACCTGCACACATATGTGTGAAGATGCTCTGTAACAGATGGAAGAAAGAAGCTTTAGAATATAAGATAAAAATCTTTTTGGTTCCCTATCACACACCACCACAAGAACAGAATCTCAGATAAGCGATGAGGAGCTTTTGACTAATTTTTTATATATTTTATTTTCTTATGCCCTATGGCTAGTATTGGCCAGGAAATTAAAAGTATTCTATATTATCAGCTCAAAACAAAGCACTACAGTCCTGAGAAGCAGATATGCGTAAATAGTGACCCCCAACAACATGACAAGGGACCCAAAGGTTCTCTTTTGGGGTGGAACTGAACTTCTCCATGTTTATCCCCTCCTACTTCTTTTTTACTTTCCAATTCCTCCCCCCCCCCC